TGTGGGACTCCCCAGAAGTGCGCACCCATGATTCCACCTCGCAAGATTCGAACTAACGTTTATCAGTCTCGCGCGCGAGCGTTTAACCACTATACTAAGGGTGCTAATGTCTAACTTCAACCAATCTACGAAATTGAGCAACCATTCACCAATTGTCTTCAGTAAGTTGATATCTCCAAACAGACCTGGTTGAACTCCACTTGAAACATAATTCAAGATGTAGGAACGTGTAACTCATTAATCTGAACAATAAAATTTTATTAGAGTGAAGATTTGTGGAGATTGTACTGGTTTTAATCGTTGAATTCATGAGACGATCAAAGTTAGACTATCATTGAAAACGTGAAAGCACTGGATGGACGTTTCGTCCCATGTCTGAGATCGTGGATGTATACTTCTAAGGAGTCACTCACTAGGATGAAACAGCCATTCAGTACTTCCATTGAACTTCTGAATTTTTCACTGATGAAAATATGATCGATCTGGTTTTGCGTGATATGGTCCAGTGAGAACCATGTATCTTTGCTAATGTGTTTGTGTGTGATTATTGTACCATCTGTATCCAATTTGTTGAATGTACATGGATTTGCAAATTTATTGCCATTTTCGTTCCTTTCTCCTAGTCCATGTCATCCTATGATATCTTCGTAGCCGTAGTTGTCCATTCAGACTTTGGCGTTCAGTTCTACCATCAGAATGGTGAGGCCATTTCTTCGGCACTTAGCTATGATTTAGTGCAGCCTCTCATAGAACTGATCTTTATCGTCATCGTTGGTATCATGGATGTGTACATAACATTTGACAATATTCATTTTAATCCCCCTTTTCAGCATTGAAGCGACTCTCTGAGGGTGTGCAGCATTTTCCACTTCTTGACCAGAGTACAGCAGCACCTCTCCTGTACCTAACCTTTGTTGTTCAGTTTGGGTACAATAGGTTTTGCTAATTCCAAGTACTGTCAAGTTGTATATCTTCATTTCCGTTGTTATTTGACTGGTCTTTTCGGTCTATCACATTATCTGAATGCTCCATAAATTTATTTATTTAAAAACATAAATATTGGTAGAAGGGGGTACCAGATATGTATGCGCCGCACAAATCTCATTCCATTTATATGAGGGCTGTGATGCTACCCGAGTGCCCAAAGTGAAGCAGGTGGTTTTCTTGGGGGAACACGTCCGAAGCCTCTGACCTAAAAGTCTGATCCACAAGGCAGTGGAGCATCGTGAGGAGATGCAGTCACATGGTAGCCGGTGACCAACGATTGTTTCATACGCCACTTGTTCCCTCAGGATACAGAAGCCCATATGTACCACTGGATTGGAATCAGGGTTTTCCGACTCCTCTAGATGGACTTTCCGTGTCTACCAACCCAGTTAGAGTGCCGGGCATTCGTTTTTCGTCCTCTCAATTTCGTAAACAGCAGTAATGCCACGAGAAGGCAGTGAGTAGGACTTCCCTGTCAGAGGCTATATACGTGTGACCATGTAAGAGCATTTGGAGAGGGAAAGTAGACTCTCCCAACTCTCGGCCATACCAGGGCATTCGGGAGCACGTTCCATGTATCTATACAGATTGTTTCTCTGGTTGTTAAAAGAGGCTTCAGCCTCGTGACTTCCGAATAATCTCAGCTTTCATTATGAGGCATCGCAATTTTTTCTTATACTTCCAGGGCAGAGTTTATTTATATGGTTTAATTTGTTTATTCTGGTTAGTGTTTTTTAACAAGATTGTTTTTTACGGGACGGAGTTGTCAACCCCGTGCCCAACCCTCCTTCTTTTTGTGGGCTTGGAACCAGCAGTAACACTAGAAGAGCTACAGACGGAGTTATATATTACATATATTTACATAATATACAATATAAAGTGTACTATATGTGACATTTGTAGAAAACTAAAAACAATTTATGGTTTAACAAAAGAGACGGGAGATACAATTTTTTAAAAAATAAATAACTTGAAAACAAAATTTTCATAAAATTTTTCAAAAAGTATGTTTAACTGGTGATTATGGTAAAGAACAATTATACATTCTAGATATTATAATTTACAGCTGGTGATAGAATTTGTGAAAATATAACTTAAATGAAAAGAAGAGGGAATAGGAGTGAACGTCATCTGATGTCTTAATCGTAATATTGTATTATGGTCTACTTATATCCATATAAGTAGTATATAGTGATGGTCAGACAGAATGTATTTGGGCATAAGATCGATAAGAAAAGAACAAGAATAAAGTGTAATCGGTACAAAAATATATGAACAATGAAATCAAAGAAGACGGACTGATATTTGCTGAAGGAACAGTTAAGATTCAGGCAATCGGTTGTTATATTGCAAATTAAGTGTTTACTGTGTGGTTATCATAATTTAGTGAAATAGTCTATAATTTTGCGCTTAAGTACATTCGATTGTCTCCAGTCGTGTTCTTGTTCACTACAATATGAAGTGATACACAGTTATTATAATAATAATGACAGGGAAAAGTCGATAGTAGTTAACTATTCACAGGTATTAAATTCAAGTCAATGTGAATAAAAGAAAGTCAAGAATAAAGGAAGTGAAGTTTTTTAAGTGTGTTACGCTGCAAATAACTTTACTTATTACTTTACTTGCTTACGCCTGTTACCTTTCGCGGAGGAGCATAGGCCACACACCAGCATTCTCCATCCAAAACTGTCCTGGGCAATCCTTTCCAGTTATTTCCACTTAAAATTCATCCTTTTTATATCTGCTTCCATTGCCCGAAGTAATGTGTTCTTTGGCCTTCCACTTTTCCGTTTCCCTTCTGGATTCCAAGTAAGGGATTGCCTCGTAATGCAGTTTGGTGATTTCCTTAATGTATGTCCTATCCACTTCCAACGCTACAACTAACTTAATGAATGGAAAATTTATTACTATCATTACTAGATCTCACTAATTTTGAAAATTAGCAAAATTTCTTAATTAACGAAAGAAACCCAAGAACTGAAATTCGAAATATAAACAATTGGTCGGTAACTAGATAGTATAAAAGTCAGATGTCTGATGTGAGACATGAAGGTCTTGGGTTCAATTAGAAGTAAGGTCATTAATAACCACTGCTAAATTGTGCTATACTAACTAAAATGAAGTAGCTATGGTTATCTAGCTATGGTCATTTCGTCATGTGATCTACAGAACAATTGAAAATTTAAACGTTTTAGGAAATAATAAATATAAAATTATTTTTCGAAATGGGGGTTTATGAAGAATGTAATAATTTAGTGGTTGAATTCATGAATGCATACTTCTGAGGAGTCCCATACTAGGATGAAACGACCATCTAGTTATTCCAGGTTCTCCATGGTGGCCCAGCTTAAATCGGCTCATGAATTCAACCATTAAATTACTGCTATCTCTATAAATCTCCATTCTTATAGTAACCATCATGTGCACACTGGTGACTGGCTTCAAGGGATATTTCCTGGAGTTCTAAGAAACCATGACCAGTGGAGTTCAAACGTATCTGTTGTGAGACAGTGACTAACTGAAAACAATGGTGGATAGTCGTGCAATGTTGTGAATCGGTTGAATCTAGACATTCACACCATTGAATGCCAGCTCAGTGATCTAGAGATTAAGCATTCGTACACGAGATCGAAGGTTCTTGGTTAGAATCTCATGTATAGATTCATGAATGTACATTGCTGAGGAGTTCAATACTAAAATAAAACAGCCATCCAGTGATTCCAGATTTTCCATGGTGGTCTAGCTTACATTAACTCATGAATTCAATCATCAAATTATTTATAATATATACTTAGTTATTTCATTCACCGTTTATAAATTAATTAACCATTTGAAGTTTTATACATAAACACAAAAAGATATGAAGTTAGAATAGAATAAGAAAAGTTGAGTTTTACAACTGTATGAAATAATAGTAATAATGAACATAGCACTGTTGTTAAATCATATAATCCTCTGTGCATATATGTTTTTTTTTTCTTTCCAAAGAACACTCTTGTTTTATACTTAACTACTTTTACATCTGATAAATCATTTTACTTAGCAGGTGTTGGCCTTTTGATCTTACTAAGATACTAAGTTAATGATAGTTTGTAAACTACAGTGATTGAATGTGTTATACATGGTTATATCCATATGATGTACACTATTTAAAAAGAAACAACAACACTGTAATCGGTGACATTAATTGAGAATTTCAAGTTGTTTTTTTTGGGTTCTATATAACATTGGTTAGTAATGGATATATATATATATATATATGAATAAATGTATTGAAAGGGAGTAACTATTCGGACAATCTATGATTGGTTTGATTTGAATAGAAATGTGAAGCTACATTCTATTACAGATATTTTTCATTTTTGTGTTATATATATGTAACTGTGCAACATGTAAATATACATTTAAATAGTCTGTTATTGTGTATAACGTCGAGTGTACATGTTTTTCTATATGTTAGTGTACATATGTAATATGTATGTAGATGTATATACATGAACACAGTAGGCACAATTTAAGACTTAAAAACGTTGGATCAAATTAATATATCCACATGTTACCATTGAAAATAACAATAATAGTCATAAATGTAGTAACCGTATCCTGTGATTGGTAAACCAGATTTCGGATCAGTTGAATATGTGTGTTTACATAATCTATAAATGAATATACATATGTGCTTGAAATTTAACAAATTACCCCTTTTATATATAAATATATATAAAAGAAACGTTTACTAAAATGTTATTATTGGGAAATACTTTCATCATTAGTTTTATACATTACTAGCACAAATTAGAATAATCTTAACCTTAACCCCCCAAAAAAGACAATTTAAAAAAAAAAATTCATTATTTTGAAAGAATAAAATCATACATTGAATCGTTAAATGAACTTTAGGTAAACAAAATAAATACTTACTTACGTTTGTTAACCCTCGTGGAGGAGCATAGGCCGCCTACCAACATTCTCCGTCCAAACAAAATAAATAACCTTTACCTTAATACATAATGAATTTATCAGCTATAAATGTAACTCAATCAGTAGATTCTTTATCTTTACCAAGTTCACCGGAACTATTAAATACTAATACATTAATAACAACAACTAATAATCATACTATCAATTCAAATTTATCATCAACAATTGAAGTAAATACTAAATTAAATGGTAATGAATTAAAATCAACTTCGAATCTATATCATTCTCATCCTCAACAACATCAACATCATCATCGTCATCATAATCATCACTATCATCAACAACAACAACAACATCATTATCATTTAAATTATCAACAACCAAATCATGAAATAACATTATCATCTACACCATCAACAACAACATCACCATCATCATCATCGTCATCAGCATCGCCATCATCATCATCATCGGTTCCGTCAATGTCAACATCAAATGGTATATTATCAATGAATCAGTTGACTAATTCATTATATTTTCCATTTACATCTAATATTATATTACAAGAATCTATTAATTTAATCTATTCAACATGTTTAAATATATTTGATAAAAGATTGAATGATGAATTAAATAAATTTAATCAAAAATATGAATTCTTATTAAATGAATGTAATGAAAGTCGTATACGTTTAAATAAATTAGAAAATATTATACAATTATATGAAGAGAAATATCATAAAATGAATATACCCTCCCTCTTGTTACCCTCATCGTCGTTACCCTCTTCCTCCTCGATACCCTCCTCATCCTCAACCTCACCATCCTCCTTATCCTCATCATCATATTATTATTTATATAATTCATTAAAATCACAACAATTCAATGAATCCATTGATAATCATATTATGAATACATTAAAAAATATTGATCATAAATGGTTAATAAATTGGAAAAATTATGAAGATTATTCAAATAATAAACAGAATCATTTTTTGGCGCCTAAAACAACATCAGGATTAGATGAACAACAACAACAGCAAGAACAACAACGGCAGCAAGAACAACAATCCTTACAAAAAATGAATAAAATGAAAGAGAATCATCTAGAATTTGATTTAAATCATCTATCCAATACATCAATGAATGATAATGCAAATCCTCAATCTAATTTCTTTAATGAATCTAATCTAAGTCGATTACATAATAATAATAATAATAATAATAATAATAATAATAATTTTTGTAATTTCGACAATCTATTACCATCATCATTAACATTAAATAATCAACATTTATTATGGAATCAATGGATGGCTAATTTTATTACTACTAATCATTGTATAAATTCTATTAATGGACTATTATCATCATCATCGTCATCATCATTACCGTCATCATCATCACCATCACATACAATATTGAATAATTTGGAAAAAATTAATAATTTCACTACATCAAATATAGAATCTATGGAAGGAAATCAAGTAAGTTGTTATGATTTTGAACAGTTTTTGTTTTCGTAATTAATTATCATGATCATTTAATTGTACATTGAATAACGTTTTGTTTTAATCAAATGAATTGTTGAAATAACACCGTTGGATACCGTCTCAAAGGTCTAGAAGTTAAGCATTCATACGCGAGGCCGTATATCTTGGGTTCTCGTCCCATGTACAGAATCGTGATTGTGCACTGTTGAAAAGTGCTATACTAGAACGAAACAATCATCCAGTGATTCCAAGTTTTTTCATAATGGTCTAGCTTAAATTGACTCATGAATTCAACTATTAAAATATTATCAGAAGGGGTTTTGTGGAGATTTAATATTTTTTTCATAGTTGAAAGCGTGAGTCAATTAAAGTATATCTAGGAGCTCTAGTGAAAAGCAGTGACCAGTGGAGATCAAAACCGCGTCTGTTGTGAGATAGGAACTCACTGAAGACAATTGGTGAATGGTTGCTCAACTTCGTGGATCAGTTGAAGTTAGACATTAATACCGTTGGATGCCAGCTCAGTGGTCTATCGGTTAAGGGCTTCGGCTCGAGACTGGTAGGTCCTGGGCTCGAATCTCGCGAGAGCGGGTTCGTGGATGCGCACTGCTGAGGAGTCCCATAATAGGACGAAACGGCCGTCCAGTGTTTCCAGGTTTTCCATGGTGGTCTAACTTCAATTGACTCACAATCTCAACTCTATAAAATTAATGGATAAGTTCTACATGCCGATGATATTATATTTCTCAACGTTTTTTTTTGAAATAAATATAAATTACTACTATTGTGGTGTGGTCTACTTATATCCACACAAGTAGTATATAACGATGGGGAGACATAGAATGTATTTTGGCAGAAGATCGATAAGGAACGAAAAGAAATGAAGCGCAATCGGTACAAAAATATATGAACAATGAAATCAGAGAAGACGGCGCGATATTTGCTGAAGGAACAGTTAAGATTGAGACAATTGATTGTTATTTTGCAAATTAACTGTTGATTGTATGGTTATCAGAATTTAATGAGATAGTCTGTAATTTATGCTTAAGTGCATTCGATTGTCCCCAGTCGTGTTCTTTTCACTACACTATAAGATACATTAAACAGATCATCATCATCATATCTAATGCATAGATATTCAATTTATATACACATAATACAGAAGTTCTTAAGAAGAAAATAAAAAAATTGATTTAGAATAATCAAATAATGTAAATAAATGTAATTTTTAAGGTTGAATTCTTTCATTGATCTACTGGGATAATGACAATGTTTCTAGAAAAAACCTTGCAATCTAAGATGAAGTAAAAGACTACAACGTTTATATCAGTTGGGATATCTCCTTACTTACTTACTTAGGCCTGTTACTCCAAATGTAGCACAGGTCGCCGATCAATGACCCCATGCCGTAGAAAAACTAGTTCGCTAGAAAACAACTCCTGTCCATTAAAGAGATGAAAGGCAACTCAATTTAAATTTATGTGTCAACTATACTATTTTCATAAAAAAGATTATTATAGAATATGAACTGGTCTCAGTTTCATTATAAAGAATAGAATATTGTAAACTTATGAATAATACCTTACTATTTTATGTGGTAAATGATGGTCTTCAAGCATTAAACTATTCATAATAAATCATTAATAATAAATAGAAATAAAGAAAAGCATTTTGCAATAATGATTGCCTGATAACATTCTAAATACTTTAAACTATTTTAAGAATCTATAAAACACTTATCTGATGCTGATTCATGAATTAAAACAGTATTTGAAAATCTTCAGCTTATTTTGTAAATAATATTCACCTTGTTGTATAAGCATGGAGCGATAGTGGCTAGCAGCGGAATCCTTATAAAGCTTGTGACATCAAGCAATATCGACGCAGTCCGCACAGGATGTACATTTACCAACAAGATACTGATCAATTGAAGTCCCAATTAACAATAGGAAGATATAAATAAACAACACTATGTAAAAATATTCATCTTGGTTTGAGTATGATTTTTTCCCATCGATTATTCAAACATTCCTAGAATAACCTTTTGAAATCTTTTACAAATATAAAAAGAATCTATTAGTCTTTAGTATCTTTCCTATGAAAATGTCAAAGATCTTCTGGTGATGAATCAATTTATCACTGATCTGATCACGAATCTAAGTATTTTGAGTAATTATGAGATTGAGCATTTGGTGAGGTATTATTTCTAACTGAAAGTAAATATACACACAAAGATCTGTTTTGTAAAATATCACTTGATGAATCCCATTTTTCTGTATACGATCATGTTAAGTTGTCTATGCTAATGGTTCTCTGTGGTTTTTGACACTGGATAAATAGTTAAGTCGAGTGTTTATTATTAAATGATACAGTCAATAATATCTTGAATAATTTTTATATATAGTTGAAATCATGAGCCCATTGAAGCTAGACTACCATGAAAAACCTGAAAGCACTGGACGGCCGTTTCGTCCTATTATGGTACTCCTCAGCAGTGCGCATCCACGATCCCGCCTCACGAGATTCGAGCCCAGGACATATCAGTCTCGCGCCGGAGCACTTAACCGATAGACCACTGAGCCGGCCGGCATCCAACGGTATTAATGTCTAACTTCAACCAAACCACGAAGTTGAGCAACCATTTCACTAATGTCTTCAGTGAGTTGATATCTCACAAGAGACTTGGTTGAACTCCACTGGTTACTGCTTCTCACTAGAATAATTAAGGGAACCTGAGATGATTTTTAATAATGATTTTTCCTGACATGATGCCTTTCTCTTATAGTACTCTATATATTATCATGTGTTAAAAAGGGCTAAATTCAGCAAGGTTTTATTCATATCAAATTACAGAAATGAAATTATGTATTAGGAATGATTTCCAGTGTAAAATATTAATACATACGATCATTATTACTAGTTACCTTATTGGATAATGTATTGACACTTATCTGTCAGTGCGAATATCCACACAGTGTGTAGAGATATAACAAGACGAAAGGCTTTAAAGTGGATGGAACTAACAATCTAGTTTTATTTAACAGTGTGTTATTCAAAACAAGAAACAGATACAATTTGGAAGAGCAATATTTCTAAACTACTTAAGTCGTCTTGTAGGAGGAGGGGTTGTACTACTTCATAATAGCTTGTTTTAACTAGAAATCCATCAAAAGTTAGAAAGTACTAGTTATCCATTGTATTATTGTTTAAAATTGTTCAGTTGTCTGCCTAGATGCTTTCATATAGAATGTAAAAATAAAACTCTTGGCGGCAGTAAGCGGTTTATGTTCTATATATTTAGTAAGTTTGTATTATAATACAACCTTCAGGGATTGTCATCCATGGTTAATTGTTAAACATTAAACATAGTTTTTCATTTTGTTATTAACTGCCTAATACAATATTTGTGGTGTTTCCCTAAATTTTGGTTTTTACTGGATGGAAAGTTATTCACTAAAAATTTGAAGTTTCAAATGTTGTTAAGGTAGGTATAAAAACAGGTTGTTTGTTATCTTGATCAATAGAACAATAAAGTGATCCAGGTCAGTATTTAGTATTACTAGTGGTATTTCAACTATCAATTTCCAAAACTCTCTTAATTCTATCACAAGTTAATATAGATAGTTTCAAGGGTTTTAAATAATATAAACTCGAGAAGAAGATTGAATTTCTGGACCTTTACAGACCTCATATAAGTCACTTATGTACAGAACAGATAACTTATTCAAGTTCATTCAATTTTAAATAGCACAAAGGACAAATCAGATTAAACTTTTAATACATACAAATAAATGGATTGTTTGTGGAGATTTTAGTAGGAGTCCCACAATAGGACAAAACCGCCGTCCAGTGCTTCCAGGTTTTCCATGGTGGTCTAACTTCAGTTGACTCATGATTTCAACTATACATACAAATAAAGTCTATCGTTTTAGTCATTTTATTCAGTTTAATGCTAATGATACATGGAACGTGATTTGTTTATTTGTGCGCATTTGATTAAGTGTGAATACCATCTCTCTTATTGATCGGAAACTAAGCTTTCCACTGAGCATCTAAATAATTAGTTTTGCTTGGTAGAACTGGGTGCAGACAAATGCACAACGATGTACAACAAGTAGGTTGATTTGAATGCGGTAATAATATGGTCTAGATCAATCTGAGTGATGTTCTCTGATGTTATTTACTAAAGCTATCCAAATCTTAGGTGGTCTTTATCAGTGACTGTAAAGGTTAGCAAATAAGGTTAAGAAGAATTAGACAGCCGTTTCTTCTTAAAGCGACTTTCTTCAGCAACATGCACCTATGACCATACTGGAGAGAGAACCTGATCTGATGATATGCCCTGAACCATTAAACCAATGACTTGACTTTTAATAGTAAACATTTCCAACTACAGGCAATTAATTTTTATTGCCTTAAAATGAGCAGTAGAATATTTTTGTCAAGTAGTACTTCACTTATAACTTCCAGAGAGGTTCAGAACAATAAAAGCAGAATAAGGGTAATTTTTTAATAATAGAATTGATGGGGTTGTTTTGAGTAAAAATAGGGAAAATAACAGGCTGAAATTTGGTCACTGTATTTTTATACAGAGTTTAGCAAAACGATTTGTTTGCTTAATTGAGTATAGTTCAGTTTCTGAAATTCCTTAGACACAAGTTTAAGTTTGATTTCAAACGCCTTTTTCTAAAATTTAAAGTACCATGTTTACTTATTTTGTTACATTATCACATGTGTGGCGTTTTGTAAGCACATTTCTAAATGATCTTATAGATTGTAATTGACTTATCTCTGTCTAAACTTATTAAGATTCTTAAATATATAGATTTGTTGTCTGGCAACATCTTCATTCAGCTTTCGTTTTTATGATAACATATACAGTACACTTATTTTGGACCAAAAAAACCAACTTGGTATTTGGATAGCAGAGATGGATAGTGGCTAGCAGTGGAATCCAGGACGCACGCCTCTTCCTATTTGGGACTCGTCAGCTG